AAAAATTAGAAACATAAATGAGGAATTTTTTGCATGGACTACTTTTTTCTCTTTGAAGGGTTAAGCATATTATTGGGCCCACTAACAAATCAATTTAGAGGCCCATAATTACCCATTATCTCACTCTCACAAAATAATGAGCTAAGGAATCTTCTTCTTTTAGCCATAGGACTTTCTTGATCGAATTTATCGTCACACTCGACATTCTCAATTTGATAATGATCCCATTGTATTATTCCAAAGCTCGTAACATCGGTCATGATAAACCCCAATTTCTTGCTTCCTCTCCGTCGATAATGCCCACTCCTTCCACTCGCTCCAAAAAAGAAGGATTTCGCATAATATGTTATTGATATTCAATAATTCTTGGTAAAGAATGAAAGCTAAAATCTTTTATTTTCGCTCATTTTCTTGTTTCAATGGACTCTTTTATTTTCATTTTTGTTGAACTTATTTCAACTTCCTTAAAATGTTAATTACCCTCAAAAAGTTATTGTTTCAACTTATTTCACTTAGTTAGTTAATCTTAAATTATTATTATTTGATAATTTGTATATATTAAATGGTTTTTCACTTTTTTTCTTTTATTTTTCACAATAGTCTTATTATTTTTAATTTTTTATTTTATTTTATCGACGAGCCGTATTACGTATAATGCTAAGGTTGATTCTTTGCGACCTGAACAATTACATAAATATGATCACATGCATTGAGTTTGTCTCTTTTTATCGTTTAATTCATTTTGCTCTAAATCGATCACAAAATATTCAAATTACATAAATATGATCACAAGAAACACATTCGTATCTGATTGGAACCCACACAAAGAAGAATAAATACGATCGCAAGAAACACATTCGAATGTGTATTCATCATTCAATTTACATAAATATGATCGCAAGAAACACATTCGCATCCGATTGAAACCCACACAAAGAAGCATTATTATGCTTCCAACATTGAACGAGGAATAAAGGAAGGGAAGATGGGGAAGCGTTCAACGATGTGAAGCATTGTCCTAAGCATCACCATTCGGCAATGCGGGCGTGAAAAGCTTCCTTCCCACGTGCCATGGCCGGGTCAAACGGGATCAAGAACATGCGAAGTTGAAGACTGTAGGCAGTCGTCGTTCTCCCATGGGAAAGAAACCCTAATATAATAAACAAGGGGAGAGGATTGATGTGATTGTTTGTGTGGAGAAACTACAAAGTGTTTTGGGACATGACATGAAACTTCTTTTCATTTTATACGATTCTTTGTACACCACCCTTTTCCCCTTTTTTAGTGTTAGGGCCATCTTTCTAATTGCACCATCTTTGTGCAAAGACCACCCAAGGATTCCATTTGACCATTAGGAGAGGACACTCCTCTCTCTCTCTCTCTCTCTCTCTCTCTCTCTCTCTCTCTCTCTATCTATCTATCTATCTATACCTATCTATCTCATGCAAATTTAAGATTTTGCTCTTTTATCCCTACCAAACATTCATTTTGCAAAAACATGAATATGATATGAACATTTACTATATTTTGCAAAATATGTCCTGAGCTATTTGAGTTTGTTGATGTTAAATTTGGTTGTCAATCCATAGTCATTGATTCAATTTCACACTCAATAAGTAGTACTCTAAAGATGATGTTTTTAAATGATCTTGGATCTTCTACCATACTTAAAAGAGATTATATTTAATAGTACGGATCATAAGATTACACTCGATTTATATATTTTCCAATGAAATAAAAAATATACATCGATAATTAATATACGTTCCGCAACACATACAAAATGCATGACTAAAATAGGATGACGACGACAATGTAAAGTTATGCTCTTAACAGTTCGAAGATGATCTAAAGATTTGTTGGACCTCAATTATTAAACAATTTAAACCCTAAGGTCATAGGGTGGTAAAGATTCATCTTGATTATTTCCCATGCTAACTTAACTATAGCTATAGCAAATAGGCACCATGGGGTGCAGTAATCTGAACTCTAATCCAATAGCCATCTTAGTTGTGACAACAATTCTGGAGCTCTAAGCCAATAGCTACTTTTCTAGTACAACAAACCTCCATGCCTTCTTCTCGGCCACTGATAGCAACATATAGCCTATAAACCAAAGAGGTAGTAGAGAGAGAGTGTGTGTGTGTGTTGAACCATAATATTCTCATCTCTGATGACAAATAGATTTGTGTGCAAAAGCCTATATATCTACTCTCCTCATTCTTGTCAGGTTTCTAAGATTGATAATGAACCTATATATAGGATACAATGTTTATTATCGTTAAGGATCCTTTCCCCCTTAGTCTATATTCTTCTTTCATTAGCACTTTGCATTGGTCGATCGATCCACCGCGTCCTAATACTATCAATATTAGGGTACGGAGGTAGAACTCTCTCTCTCTCTCTCTCTCTCTCTCTCTCTCTCTGTGTGTTCACGTAGCATCAGATCTTAGGGGAGAGACTGAACAAGTTGGCAATTTTCTGTGAAGTAAATGAAGTGAGTACATGGTTTGGATTCATACACGAGTGTACAGTGAGATATTACCATTGCTTTACGTTATGGTGACCATATAACTTTGCATCCTAACAAGGAAAAGCCCCAAGTCCATGTGAGAGATCATAATTGTTGCAGGAAGGGTTACATAGAAAGAAGCATGTGGCATCAGAGTTTTGCACCACTCTTCTTCCCCAACTCCATATAATATATGGAGTGCACTCCTCGAGGAATGAATGATACATGCACACGTGTGCAGGAGGATCAACTTTGGCCCATGGATTCGAGGCATGCGTGCTTCATCTCCCCCACATCATGGATCGATTGGGTTCATTCCATTTCATCGGAGTCTCCTCGCCGGCCTCCCCACCTCCTTCTCTTCTCCCCATGCAGCCTCACGAAAGTCTTCCTGGTCAAAAGGCCTGCATCCCAATCACTGTTACTAAACTCATGCTTATGCAGATATCATGGTATTAAGTCTTTTGGAAGTAATGGATTAAACTACTCCAAGTTAGCATTCCTATGATTTAGCGGGATTCCATTTGGAAAATGAGAGTGGTCTATGCGAGACAAATCCCAGACAGACCTCCCTTAATCTAATCCCAATCCTCTCTCTCACTCTCTCTCTCTCTCTCTCTCTCTCTCGACTGTGATGTGCTGAAAGAGCACTATATCGTGAAAACCGGGTCCAACCCAGCACGAAGGCTGCGACCTGCTAACCCTAACCTGAGGTGGAACGAAGCCTACGATGTAAATGGCTACTGAGGGACCGAGGAATGAGAGAGAGAGAGAGAGAGAGAGAATGGATTGATGTGACGGTGAGTGATTCTTTTATCATTGTTTTGAATCCAGCACTGTGCTCCTCTCTTCGGTGCGGTGAGTCTCGTCCTTCGTGCATGGAAATGTTCACGTCTTGATAACAAGGAGACACGGGCACCCCGCCGATTTCTCCTAGGCTGAAGGCGGAAGCCATTTCCTAGGGCTTCGAATGGTCCCACTCTCGTTTGACCATCTCTTCCAGCACATCAACTGTTGTCTGCTGCTTAATGATCTGAGCTTTCTTGCTACCACCTTAGATAATGAAGAAGAATAATGCACATAAATATCTGTTATATTCTGATGCTTTGGCTTCCACTCTACTCTCCCTGGAGGAGACGTTGTCATCGCCCAGGCAGCACTAGTTGTATGGTTGGCCACTTGCATGAGCAGGAGGTCTTTAGTATATGTATGTGGAGCCGACCATGTCCCTTGTAAGGGATGGTAGCTGTCGACCACCAGGCACGTGTTCGTCGCCGCCCGCCCGGCCTCCCTCCCCCACCAATGGCTGCGCCCCCTTGATGAACCACCCCCGTCCTTTGCTCTCTCTCTCTCTCTCTTGTCCCACCGATTCGAAAAGGCACAAGTGCTCTCTGTTTGCCGATTCCTATTCAAATTACCCAACTTGAAAGTACAGACGTGCGGCAGAGTATGTGATCTGAAGTTTGATATTGCTCATCATAATCCATATACGATGGATGATCTTTCAATGCAGTTTATGAAACATGATTAGATGTCCGTGCATGCATGCGTGCGTGCGAAAGTGGCAGATGCAAACGCCTCATTCACCCATATAAGCACCTCAACACCTGTGAGGACGTGTACATCGGCAGGAGCAAGTACGGCGATGAGGATATTTCGTGTACACTCCCTCGCAGCGAAGGGAATGATGGGAGACACGAGTGTACAAGCACAAGTACTGTCTCACGTGGGCACGTGGGAACAGCGCGCATGCAACGCACGCCCGTACAATAGTCTCGGGCGAGGGAGAGAGAGAGAGAGAGCGAGGGCCTGCCAACCCTAGCTTTGGCTTTTCGAAATCCTCCTCGGTCATTAGTCTTGGTTAGGCTATCATAACGCTTGGATTACCGAGAGGCGTTTACCTTTTTTTTACAGTGGATCACAGGCTTTGCATACGAACACTGTAACAGGAGAAGAAGAGAGAGAGAGAGAGAGAGGCCATGTGTTTTACCATGTTTGATTCCTCATGGACGGTCAAACTTTCAAGAAGGCGGGTGCACCACCCAAGATGAAAAGAAAAACCTCCTTATCTTGTCGAAAGATTAATCTAATCTTTAGCCTTAGTGGTTTATTCACCATTTATGTTTAGAGAGAGAGAGAGAGAGAGAGAGAGAGAGGACATGATGACAAGAAACAGAGTAAATGAGGAAGAGGCGGTACCATTGCTATGAGCATCAAGCAGTCACAAAAGCTTCTTCTGTTTTGCTTGGTCGAGTGTGTTTAAGGTGGAATTGGTCAAAAAGGTTAGTGAGATATGGAAGGGCAAATAAAATACACAGCAGCCTTTCAGAGAGACTAATAGTAGTGTACACATTTCACATACACTTCCTCTCTCTTCTTCGACTTATCTCTTTAGCGAGCTTTGCTGTCATCTGCTTGTTTGTTTGCTTACAGTATACATATATATATATATATATATAAAGGCACAGTGCTTACATTTGACATGTTTCTCTCTCTCTCTCTCGCTCTCTCTCTCTGGTTTTCCTCACCTTTTCTTCCTCGCCTCTCCAACCCCCAATGCGCTGCTTTCCTCCCTCTGTAACTCCCATGTCGTTGCACTCTTCATCCTCCTCCTCCCTCCTCTTAGCTTCCCACTGTTGAAAACCCTCTCCATCGACCCCACACCCACACCCTTCTGTTTTACTTCCCTTTCCCCACAGGTTCCCGCAAAAAGACAAAGCCTCCTTCCCCCCCTCTTTTAATGGCCTCCATGAACAACTGGCTAGGCTTCTCTCTCTCCCCTCAAGAGCTCCCCCCTTCGCAGTCCCACCAAACCCATCCTTCCTCTGGCATCATCTCCAACGACGAGGTGTCAGCCGACTGCTACGGCCTCTCCACCGACTCATCGTCGACGGCTCCCCTCGGCATCCCGACTCTGCGGCCAGATGGCTCTTTTGGCATCTTGGAAGCCATTCACAGGCCCGGCTATCATTCCCAAGGTGAGTACGGAAGTAATAGCTTTGGACTCTGCCATTGCATGAGCCAGCTTATGCTACTTATGAGCCTAAGACTCTGATCTGATGTCATAGATTGGAGCATGAAGAGCCTAGAGTATAAAGGAAGCTCTTCTGAGCTATCGATGTTGGTAGGGGCAAGTAGCAACCAGAACACCATGGACAACGAGCAGCCCAAATTGGAAGACTTCCTCGGTGGGCACTCTTTTGCGCGACATGATCAGAAGCTCCCGTCCATCGCTGGAAATTACGACAATCCCGGCGGCTACATGTTCTCCCATGGTTGCAACAATGGAGGGCTAATGAGCAGCAATGCAGGATGCAGCAGTAGCTCCATTGGGTTGTCGATGATCAAGACCTGGCTGCGGAACCAGCCGGCGCCACCGTCGCAGGTGGAAGGAAACGGAACCAGCGGAGATGGTTGCAGCACTATGAATGGTGGCGGTGCAGTGGTTGGGAACGTTGGTGGCGCACTAACAAGTTCACAGAGCTTGTCCCTGTCGATGAGCACCGGGTCGCAATCCAGCTCGCCGTTGCCGCTCATGGCGGCAGCTGCGAGTGGGGGAGGGGATAGCTCGTCGTCAGAGAGCAAGCAGAGGGAAGGTAGTGGGGTGAGCGCTGCACTCGATGCACAGAGTGGCGCGTTAGAGACAGTGCCAAGGAAATCGATCGACACCTTTGGGCAGAGGACTTCCATCTACCGGGGGGTTACAAGGTTCACCATGCAATCCCTAGAAGTAGCTTTTGCTCCTTGTTTGATCTCTTATACGATCTCTTTTCTCACAGGCATAGATGGACAGGCAGGTATGAGGCTCATCTATGGGATAACAGTTGCAGAAGAGAAGGACAGACTCGCAAAGGTAGACAAGGTAAACTTCTCTAAACATCAAGGTTTAATCTATCTAGAGATTGAAGGTTCAGTGTTGCTGACTACCCTTCGTTTTGCTTCATCTCCTGCAACGACGTCACCTTCTGGATCTGTACATTTTCTACCTGCATGCAGTCTATTTAGGTAAGTCAACCGAGGAGGCTCTTCTTTGGTCCCTCTGCAGTGCATGCATCTCACATCTGCTCTCTTCATCTGAGCAGGTGGCTACGACAAAGAAGAAAAAGCAGCTCGGGCTTACGATTTGGCTGCTCTCAAGTACTGGGGTACTTCCACGACCACCAACTTCCCCGTAGGTTCTTTCTCTCATCGTTCCAACGCTGTTGAAGCAATAGTATTGCCATCTCTTTGACTAAGCTGAATCTTTCCAGATAAGTAACTACGAGAAAGAGTTGGAGGAGATGAAGCATATGACGAGGCAGGAATACGTTGCCTCTCTAAGAAGGTAGCTCTGGATTTCTTGTCATCTCTACTCTGCTTTGACTACTCATCCATGAACAGAACTCCATCTCATCTGGTATAACTCAAGTTGTTGAATGCAGGAAGAGTAGTGGGTTCTCTCGCGGTGCTTCTATCTATCGTGGGGTGACGAGGTATATCACATCGACATAAGTACAGATTTCCTTACCTTTTTTTTGTTTGGTCAAGCTTTCCAGTCTACTAAAGCAGATGATGATCGACTTGACAGACATCATCAGCATGGAAGATGGCAAGCAAGGATAGGAAGGGTAGCTGGAAATAAGGATCTGTACTTGGGAACCTTCAGTAAGTTCCCCTCGATTTGATGCCGTATTTGTGCCTACTGTTTCCTAGAAGCATAAATTTGCTGGCATTGCTGTAGGCACACAAGAGGAAGCCGCAGAGGCCTACGACATTGCGGCCATAAAGTTCCGAGGCCTCAACGCCGTCACCAACTTCGACATGAGCCGGTACGACGTGAAAGCCATCCTCGAGAGCAGCACGCTCCCCATCGGCGGCGCCGCCAAGCGACTCAAGGAGATCTCCGAGCACACGGAGGCGAGCGTCGATGGGAGGATGGCCGATGTTGGCAGCATCACCTCCCATCTGACCGACACCATCAGCAGCTACGCCTCCCACCACCATGGCTGGCCGACTATGGGCTTCCAGCAGTCCCAGCCGCTCGCCGTTCACTATCCTTATGGCCATCAGCCCCGGGGGTGGTACTGCAAGCAAGAACAGGACGCCGTCATCGCCGCCGCCCACGGCTTGCAGGACCTCCAGCAGCTCAACCTGGGGAACAGCACCCACAACTTCTTCCAACCATCCGTGATCCACAACCTCGTGAACCTGGAATCATCATCGATGGATCATGGCACGGGGTCGAATGCTGTGATCTACAGTGGAAATGTCGGGGGGAGTGGTGGGAGCTATCAAGTGGATGGCAGCGGTGGGTTCGTGATGCCCGTAGGCACCACCATGGTGGGCGATCAAAACAATCCAGGCAGCAGCAGTAGCTACGCTGAGAGCGAGGGGAAGCAGATGGGCTATGAGAATATTCTGTCCACCGGTGATCCTTATGCTGGTAGAAGCATATATTATCTATCACAGCAGTCGGGGGGAGGCAGTGGAGTGGTGAAGGAGAATGGCTATGAGCAGATGAATGGGTGCAACGCTTGGGTGGCTGCACCAGTGCAGGCTTCTGCAAATGGAGGGAACAATGTTACTGTTTGCCATGGAGCTCCACTTTTCACAGTGTGGAATGATGCTTAGGTGAAAAGGGGAGAGGAGAGTAGGTTGACTAGAAGGGAAGGAATGTGGTTAGGGGAAAGGAAAGAAAAGAAAATTCTAGTTAGCTCCGGATTTTGATTTTGATTTTTCTGGATGATGATGATGATGATGATAAGGTAAAAAAGCTTCTAAAATTTTCTTTGTTGGGTCAGTGTAACTCCTCTTCTGTCATTAATTAGCATTATCCTCAAGTTATGGTCATGGCTTGTGAGTATTGAAGTACTGATCATTGATCATGTCTCACTTGCTGTCAATTTTGGGAGCTTCATATGAATGGATATGCTGCCTGAGGGGTTCTGTAAATTCAACTATAATTTGTGTTCCTTTAGTTAAAGTAATCAGATCTTTAGCTGTGGTTTATGAGATCCGATATATTTCTATGTTCGTTGTCAGTGATACCTGACTTAACTTCGACTCAAAATACTTAAGCTAAAATTAACAATCGTACATCGACTAAATCAGAAATGTTAATTTTAATTTAAGTTACTGTGATTTAGCAAATTAAAATACTAATGCTACATTAATTGTGTCATGTCTACACTTGTTTTTTTCTTTTCTTTCACCAAAAGTATTATTGATTGAGATTGTACTTTGTAATTCATTTTCCTTTTGTTCATCAAAAGGTTTTATCAGCATATCATTCATTCCTTGTAGGTAGAGGAGACGCCTGCAGTGGCTAAGAATAAGATCTCAAAGTATGCATGTCTCATGCAGTTTGGAAGAGTGGCTTCATCTTCACCCTTTAGGGTTCCAACTTGTTGCTCCTCCCTCGCAAGTGACTTCTTTTTCTTCTGCAAGTCAACTTCCACAGTGTCTCTAACCAGTGGATCTGTATCTCACACACTTCAAAGGCTGTGTTTAGTTTTCTTGCTCTGCCAACACAAACACAGATGTGGGGATGAGGAGAATCTCTCAGTCGCTATGAGACCTGTCTCCTTTAATTAAGGGATCTTTGACTGTCATTACTGTTATGGAAGTGATGGAATTTAAGATACTATATATAATCTAAGATCGAGGAAACCAAAGTTTAAGAGAACGACACTTCAAGAGTTGTGCTTCGTACACGTGCATCTCTGCACCCTAAGACGATCAAGAATTCAAGAGAATCCCGATGCAGAGTGTAAGAACAAAATGAATGATGATTTGGCCATTAATCAGAGATTTTTCTTTCTTTTTTGTTTGTAGTACTCTTCTGTGCTAAATGCCGAGCATATACTTCCCCTTCCCGTGATTTCTCTTTGATGTCATTACAAACAGTAGGATTCTGTTCTTTTCTCATTCTTTAAGTTCGATGGCTACAGTTCAACTGTCGCTCTCACCCATGAACAAGAGAAGGTTCATTGCATGTCATATACATGTTGTGTTTGTGGCACCAAACTCTTGCTGTTAGAAAATTGAGAATCATGGATGTATTCTCATGAAACAAACCCTTCTTGTTGTCTTTCTGTAAGAACAAACAAAAGTTGCAGGCTAAATGACAGTAACATTAAGTGATCACTAGTTTTTCCTGCTACCACAGAGCAGGAAATGATATATATTTGGGTTTTTACTGACACGAAGAAACCAGAACTGCAGATAAATGTGGTATTTGATGTCACATAATCTCTAGTTTTCTACATGCCAAGCAGAAACCTGAGAATGAATGTGTTCTCATGATGAAGCAATAAAGGAAAGTTACAGATTTAACTGCAGTAATGTCAACCGGACACAATTTATGATTTCCTACGACATATCTGCTTCATGCCCGCAACTAGTCTCTCTGTCCTCTTGCCATGGCGTCTGTTCTCGGCCGCTTCCATCTCGGTACTCGGAGAGAGAGAGAGAGAGAGAGAGAGAGAGAGAGATGGATAAAGACACATGAATGCATCGCCTCGTTGGCCGCACCGGATGACGACGAAAAGTGCGTCGGCCCCATCTCTGACAACGAAGCGAGGGGGTGATCGATGTTCCTACCTGTGTCTTCATCTCCTCCTCCGGTGCGATGAGGGCGGCCTCCGCCGCATGGCCTGCCAATCCTTGGACTGTAAGGCATGGATTGGCTGCGTGGGCTTTATGCTGTTCTTCTTCTGCATTCGCCATGAGTCTGGGAATTAAAGGTGCAACAATGGGCCGAATTGGGATGACCACATGTCAGAATAATATGATGCTTGTTGCGTAAGGTGGGGGACTCGATCGAATCCAGATCTTGCACACATCTTTTAGGCATTACTTTCTTGAATCAGCGACAGTGTTATTTCAGGCACGAAGATTACAGCATATAATCGAGAAGCAAACTCGATGACAGAGACAACAAGACCAGGATAGCATTAGAAGTATTCTTATTGCATGGCTGCAGTCTACGTAACGTACGTCTCGTTGAATCGAGCATCATCAACAGCCATCCTCTTCACGGTCCACAGCCATTAGTACCTTCAAGAAACAAATGAATCGTGAGTCTCCATAGCTTGGCACATGCAGTCGGAAGACGGGGGAGGAGTCACGATGTATACCTTCTTCCGCCACAGCCGTTCTCTCTCTGGCAGTTGAAGAACATGGCCGCGACGGGATCCCCGAGGTTGTAGAGAGCGGAGAAGTCCTTGGTGTTGAAGTTCTGCCTCCACCCAGGCGCGTCGATCGTCTGCCGGACCGATTGCCGGAACAGCACGAACACGAAGCGGTGGATACCAGCTGTTGGCCGTGGGCTCTCGTAGCAGACGATCTCATTTCCTGGGAATCATGGCAAGAATTAGGTGCCCCTGTTGTGCCTTGAGATTACAGTACAAAAGAGTGATGTTGCTTTCACCCACCAAAGGTGGTATTAGTTGTCTCTGGGATGTCTGTCACCAACCTGAAGCACCACAAAAGAAGAGTCAGTAGATGCTTGATGCTTCATTGCTAGATCGCAGCGCCTGCAATAAGCGAGATGTGATCTTACCAGTGCAGGTGCTCTCTTTTGGTCGGGTTGCTGGGGCTCGGTGCGTCTGGATCCACCATCACCTTTCCAAATCATCATGTCAATTAGTGACTGGTTAACAATGCTACAAGTCGACTTAATGATCTTTATATTCGTCGACTCCATGCGAAAAAGCATGCATAAACATGAATTCTATTATTCTTCATCGACATGGAATCAGGACATCTTCGTCCTTCCTGCATTGTCATGGAGTCGACTCTACCTCGAGACAACATGGTCGAGAAGATTCGGAATCCAAAAAAGATGTCAGAGAACTACTGAAGAGATTCGATCGGATGATGAACTATGACAGAGGTAATAGTAGCCTCCATGGTTCTTCGGATGTAGCTGCTCGTCGTCTACCTGTCGAGATAGTTGATGCTACTTACCAGCGTGTACAGAGTCCTCATGTCGTGTCCTCGGATCTCAACCCGGGGCTCTTTGGCGACGGCGGACGGTTTGAGCTCGGATCCATTGGTGAGTTCCTTGCTGTTGTAGATCACCCGAAACGCCGCGGAAGTGACAAACGGGTCCAACACATCACCAATCACATTGCCTACGACAAGAGGATCCCTCGACATGATTAAGGATTGCAGGAGTCACTGGTAGCAGAAACGTGGGAGTGATGGAGACTCGATGGATGGGTACTTCCTCCCTCAAGGTGGCTTGGAGGCGGATTGATGGATGAGAGGTCCATTTAAATAGCAGCAAAGCAACTCCATAGGAACTGGAATCTGCTTTTCTACCATAGAGTATGATTTGAGTCTCTGTCAGTGGAAATGCTGCAGATCTGCATCTCCACAAGAGCAAGTGGTTCATGCATTGCATGGTGAATAAATCTGCCGAGTTATTCTCTAAATCTTCCAACCTCTTGAACGAACGATATGTTCAGCAGAAAGTGGATTGCCTTTTGACCTGCCTCCCTCCAATCTCCTCCCTGAAATGCCTCAGGAGAGCTGCGAGCTGCATGAACAGAGCGAGCATTCGCACCAAAAGTGATTCGTTGAGCTCAAAAGCAGGGCCGTGACATCACAGCCTTGACTTCAGTTCGACCATGACAGCAATTTGCCATCTCACAGGGGTGTCAGGGAATTGGGTGCTGCTGCAATTTTCCGAAAATTGTTGCGCACAGAGGTCGAGCTCATCCGTTGAAGGAAGGAAGGAAGGAAGGAAGGAAGAACATATCTGGTCAGATGATTTCAGCTGGGAAGAACAGTTTTGCATGGAAAAGATGGTGATCTGAAAAGAGGAATAGATAGGAATCTAGGCGATCATGATATCGGATGCCACTGCCAGCCGTCTTCTGCAAACAATGTGCAGAGTTCTTCCATGATCTGTAGCTCCAGGTGGAAAGGCGATGCTCAAATCAGGTATGTCCCAATTCAATCACCTAAGCAGCAACTTGCAATTTGGCAAGCGTACAACAAGTGGAAGACAAGAGTAGCAAATTTAGCTGGTTTGACTCTTTATTCTTGTGTGTGTGTTCTATTAGATCTTCAACACATCAAAGCAGCTGGTTGCACAGTTTCAGGTCAGCATTCACCTTTCAACTGTCATGGTGGGATTCAGTAGATCATGCAGACTGCCCCCACTTGATCTTATGCTTAGCACTTCATCACCAAGCCTGATTCTCCTGCCAGGTGTGCACCTCAAATTACTTTCTTTGCATTATATGAAAAGTTGGCTTCCTTTTTTCCAGAGGAAGAAGATATGGGAAGACATTCACACGCAGGTAAAGAGAATCTCTTTCATCATAAAGATTTATAGAGCTAATGATTAAGAATAAAGAAGCTTGTTACTTAGGCATCTGTTTTTGGGGGCATACATGAATGAAACAGTGAGTCAAAAAGATCAGTCCACAAAGTCGATCGCAAAAATGAGTCAAGAATTTTCTTCTTCCATTTTCGACATGATTAGCACGCTGTCAAATTACCATTATCTCTTCATCAAAACCATAAACTTAGCATTACCTTTACGATCGATTGATTATTACATGAGATGGTAGTAAAATAACAGAGTCATCGACACCACCACTCCGACCCGATGGATGACATGAGATGGGGTTTGAACGAGGGGAGTTCTACTTTTTCTCGCAGTTATACCTCTGCAACTTCCGGTCACTGGATTCTCTCGCCGGTGTGTCGCTGCCAAGTGACTCCTCTTTTGTCCGAGAACAGAAGCTTCTGCTGCGTCGGAATCGGAATGGGGTGTGGAGAGAGAGAGTCGCTTCCATCCACACAAAGCTGGCAATATATTCTTCTGGGAGGTGTGTTATCAGTCCATAATTTACGCAAAAAAGAAGGCTCCATTACGCTCCTGCAGGATCGATTCCCCATGCACAACTCAACTCACATCTCCCCGTACTATGCTTTTCGAGGGCAAGGCAGCAGCAGGTGTTGGCACTGATTCATCCAGCCTACTGATCTCAAACCTAGCTTTAACTCACCTACCGCAAGGTTGGATGGCCGGAGGGGGCGACTCCCATCCCAAGTGGCGAATGTGGGCTGGTCAACAAAGAAGAGAGGGAACGGAGGCACGTTTCGCCATTTTTAGTTCTTACTTAATGGTGTTAATATATTCTATTTTACTGCCGAAAGTAGTTCGATCATTCTGTCATTATAGATGTTTACAGTCACAATTATTTTAGGGGATGGACGATTTGATGAATTTAATTGTGATTGGAAATTCTCTTAGATAACGTAGTTGATCGGTAATGACATCGATGGAAGATTTGGAAGTGGATAGATTTAACTCTCACAAGCTTTGGGAAGTAATACCCAAAAGCCCATTTTTATTATCCATTCAAGCCTAAATTAGGCCTAAAGTTCCAATTAGGCTATTATTGTCCAAAAACAAAAGTCCAATGACTCTGGTTCAATTTAACTGAACTGAATTGATTGATTGAACCAAATTAGTTATTTATATATAAAACTTAAAATTATAAATCGATAATTTAAATTAGATTGAATTTATGGTATATTCATTTATACCATCAACCAATATTTTGACCCGCGGGTGGTGATCGATCCTGGCAACCCGTTCGACCTAGCGAAAGGCCACGACACATTCGTTCATCAACAAAACTTAAAATTATAAATCGATAATTTAAATTAGATTAATTAGTTTTGAATAAGTTAGGTAGGTCTGAAAATAATTTTGATTTGACCTACCTTAAATCAAAATCAAATCAGAATTTTTATTTGATTCAATTCAACACTTAATTATTTGATTCGAATCAATTTGAACACTCCTGCTAGTAATTTATTATAGAGTAACACGTAAGTGTAGTTTTGCATGTGGGATTTATGGTATATTCATTTATACCCTCTACATGGGAAAATAAGAGATACATACGTGTATATTATTGTTGTTGTTGTTTCCGTCAGTGATTCGTTGCGTTAAATTTCGTGTTATGCGTGCGCGGCTGGTTAGTGCCTCCACCAGTTTCACGTGGGCTGCCGGCCGTAGTGTTGGGTGGGACCGGCAGAGGTCCCGCTGCTTTCATTCCACGTACGATTGACCGCTTGTGTTGACCCTTATTGACCGCTTTGTTGGTTCACATTTATTTTATGTTCGCCGAGGGACAATCCTAATCCTACCAAGTAAAACTCATACGTGCAATGGGAGTTCACTTATAATAACGATCCTTACACACTTATTTCGGTCGTCGACACGATGGGTGGCATTCTGCGAAACGAAAGTAAAAGAGAAGTACAGGTACCGACGAGCAACTAATCTTATTAGGATTGATCCATACGCCACGTCATGTAGTTGACGACATGGAGGTGGTCGCCGGCGCTGGCTGATCACAGGAACGCGTCCTTCAGGACGGAGGGCAACCTGACAGGGTTGGCGGTAGCATCGCCTTGGCGACCAAGCGACGACGGATACAAGATCGGCGCAAACTTGACCTTGTTGCCGCAGTTAGTCGGCAAGTCCGTGGGACAGGTCACGAAGGTGGTGGCGTCGCTGGAGACGCAGATGCGGATGCGGGTGAGGTAGTCCTGGTACAGCAACGGCCACGCCGTGTACCTCCTCTCGCACTCCACCGAGAAGGAAGAGGACCCCAGAGTGGTCGCCAGCGCCTCCGTGATATCTTTCAAGTTGTAGGTAACGCTCGCGTCCGGGACGATACCTTCCATGAGCGCAGGAGAATGAGCCATGAGTACTATGCTTAGGAGTCTGGGGTTACTGTAGAGGGTTTACCGCGGGATTTCAGGGTGGCGAGGATGTTGGCCTGCTCCCTCAGTAGAAGTGTCCGGTTGAAGTACACCACCTCGCTGAGGCTGGTGCAGTTGCCATACGTGCACCAGACGTGTTTCCACTGCTCCATGCCATTGTTGCTGGGGCAGCTCAGGTTGGGCCAGTACGCGAACAGGTCCTCGATCAGATCCACCAGCTGTTCGCGTTCCCCATTAATTCCACCCACGTCAAACAACAACTCCATCATCATCAATCGCCATGCATCGAGCTAATTAAAAGAGGACTCACCGGATTGATCAAGAAGCGGCAGTGGCTGTTGCAGTTGGTGATGGGGTTGCCGGTGCTGCTGTCGTACGTCTCCAACGACTGCACAAGGAAGTCCGCCGCCGGCTCTCCCGTCGTCGGTATGCAGCAATTCTCCCCCAGGTTCACGCTTTGGCAGTAACCCCCTGGCCACTGCAAGCAACCACACAGATTTCATGCAACACACACAGTGCAGAGTAACTCCACCACGTATTGATTGACTTGGCTTCTTATACCAGTAGGTTCAAGTAAAGCAAGTCGGGCGTGGAAGCCGCCGCTGCCGAAGAGTAACACAGGCACAAGATCAGGCCAAGGAAGCAGAGCCGAGGAAGCGCCTCGTTCGATCCAGCCATTCTCGCAAGCAGGAAGCTTAATGGGTCTGCGAATGAGCGAGAGCAGGAAGCTGTATTTAAAGCATGTCCGGTGCATGAATTGAGGATATAAACAATAAAATAATTATCAGAGGAGGAAGCGCATGTTTTCATCGTGCTTGGGTACGACGTTGTCTGGGTCCCTCGATCAATAATTGGTGTGGAGACAGAGAGTACTCTTATTCATATTTTCAACAGCACAGACATCCAAGGAACAGTCAATGTTGTCTTTTGAATCAGTGAGAAGACGAGAGAGAGGACATGGGACGAGGACACCCGACGGTCTTGGCGGTGGCTGAAATGGCTGGTTGGTGGATGCGGCGGAACAGGGGAGTCCCCCGCATGCACGTGTTTCACGTTGGATTACGTATTTGTGGTGGGCGAGAGGATAATATCATAAAAGAAAAGAGAAGGCCATTTGGGAGAAGTGATTCCATGTCTTCGTTTATTGGGCATTGTGACTTCATGGCAGCAACTCGTTGATGTGTACTTTGAGATAATAGATCATACTATTACAGTGCTAGGGATCAAGCTTCTTCGAGCGAGTAAATCTCTGCTCTACTCCATGAATAATAGATCATACTATTACAGTGCTAGGGATCAAGCTTTATTTCATCATCGAAAACTCTCTCATCAATCTGCACAATCGATTGTGACATCACCTTCTTTCTCGCTGACCCACCCCAATTAGGATTGCTACTTACTCATCGATGTCTTCTCTTGTTATTGGATATAATCGGTGTCATCCTCCATTTTTTGCAACAATCATAATTGTCTCAACATCAAGTATAGTATAAGCAAAGTCCTCTTCTTCAACTTGTGGTATCTCTTGTGATCACTTGTATGATTCATCACCTCTCTTTCTTAGTCATTATTGATCATCAATATGTATTCTTCCTCAAGGATGAGGCTGTCCTCGTTCTTCGCCAGCAGCTTCTTCCCACGAGATCCACGTTGGTTGCAGATTTCTCTCTTCGATATGATTCCCATTAATGGCGTGTTATTACCTATCTACAGTGCCATTTGACGTTATTACGTGTTGATTCTTCACTCTTCTTCCCCATTATTTCTACAACTAACAATTGACTCGATAATAATGACGCACTGTTGAAACATTTATTATAATTAAAGAAGAACGTTCTCTGAATTATTATTATTTTGTTTTAAAAAATACTTTATTTCTACCTAATTAATCAATTATTTAAAAAAATTGATGATCAATTCATTTTCACTAACGCAATAAAATTTAATATGTGATTTCTTCCAAGAAAATTATACTAAAGATAGAATGTAATAAATGTAATAATATATATATAACTAATATTTTTAAAATATATTAAATCGGATAATTTTACGGAATAAGGTTTTTAGTCGTTCGATGTATGAATCTGTTATATCAATATAAAATTATATTTTAGATATTAAAAATATATACGAGATAATATTTTGGTGCAGTAATATATGTTTAAGAAACACCACTTTTATTACTGCAGGTGTGAAGATGATGCGACTTTACAACTCGGGAGTAAAAGACGACGCGACAGCTCACGTCACCATAAGTGCATGCATGTGGATCACGCCAAGCAGAAGAAGACAGGCTTAAAGCAGTTCCTCCATCACAGTGCCATATCGTCGCCGGAGGGCAACTCGATCACTGTGCTGGAAACGGCGTCGTCTTCACGGCCGTGCAGTGGGTACGACACAGGGGGGAACTTGACCGTGTCGCTGCAGTTACTCTCCCTGCCGTTGGGGCAGCTGATGATCGATCTCCCGTCGCTGGAGACGCAGACGCGGATCTGGGAGAGGTAGTCGTTGTAGATTAAAGGCCAGAGAATGTAATTCCTGGTGCACACCACCGTGAACGAGAACCCGATCCTGGGCACCAACGCGTCGTTGATGTCCTCCAGGCTGTAGCTCTTCGTCTCCGACGGGATGATGGCTTGAGATCAGGAACAGATCCATGCGTTAGCTGCAGACACTTGTAAGCTCGAGGTCGGCATGCAGGGCAGGGCTGCTTACCTTTGGAGCCGAGGGCATGGAGGACGTCGGCTCGAGCCCGGAGCTGAAGCGCCCGGCCGAAGTAATTCACCTCGCTAAGGCTGGTGCAGTTGCCGTAGGTACACCAGGCGGCCTTCCACACCTGCTTCCCGTTCTGGGCTGGGCAGCTCAAGCTGGGCCAGTAGGCGTTCAAGTCGTTCATCAGATCGTTAAGCTGTGGCATGCGCAGAGTGATCAGTGTGGGTCGGGAGCAGCGGAGATCATCGACTGCATAGATCCAATCAGGCCTATTACCGGGTTCAACAAGAAGCGGCAGCTGGGTTCGCAGTTGGCGACGAGCTTGCCGGTGGCGCTGTCGTAGGTCTCCATGGTCTCCACCAGGAAGTCTGGCTCGGGGTTTTCGATGAGCGGGTCAACGCAGCAGGTCGGCTGCCAGAACCACCCTGGCTGGCAGCGAGTCCCCGGCCACTGCAGGAGTCACGATCCGTTAGACTTCATTAACAGTTTACCGTACAAGAAAGGCTTTCTGTAAAGCCGAGAGAGAGAGAGAGAGAGAGGAATAGGTACTATGAGAGACAGGATCATGTAGTCGTATGAAGCAGCTGCTAGCGCACAAGAGGCGGCGCACAAGAGGAAGCAGAACGTGGGAAGAGCCTTTGAGCCAGCCATTCTGCAGAGGTGGAGAGGATGATCGGGGGAGAGACGCTTCGTGAGGTGATGAGTCTGATGGCTCTATATAAGCACTACATTGAAGACACACCCACCTACTGATAATTGTTGGACTAATAATGCACCGCGATTGCTGTTAGGGGGGTCTTAAAATAATGCACTTCGCATAAAATGTCGTACACCAACATGAAACATGAGGGACATTCCCGCATATCGCAAGCATAGTGGGTTGCAAAATGCAAGGAAAGAAAGTAAGGAATTTATTTGATTATGGTCTCTCATAGCTATAAGATTATGGTCTCTCGTAGCTATATGGACTATGTGACATCGTCAAACCACGATGTCACCTCCACCCTCCACCCCACCAGCCACTGGACCCTTTCCATACATTACAATCATTAATCTTGATGGAGGTGAACGAGAGATAATCATAAGTATTTTTCCTCTCTTCTCTTTTGTATGACTCATCGTATTAGATATTATCGTACGCTTCACGCACATATTGTTTTACTCACCTGATCGAGCAACGATAATAGTGTGATAGAAGCGAGCAAGGGATACTCCTTCGACTAAGGGGCTTGAAATCTAAGAGATAGAAAAGGGATTGAGGATAAAGACACGAGCAAGAGATAATATAATTTTATGACGAATAAGAGTTAAAGAGTAAGATGAGAATGACTATATGATGCGAATAAAACAAAAAAGTGACATTAGTAGAATAAAAAGTAAAAAA